CTAAATGCCACCTGGTGGATGCCAACGAAATCCCCTGCTCCTGCTGTAGGCAGCAGCTCTCACGACCGTTAGGGCAATCGCTGCGATGGCAGATTCTGCAGCAGCGTGCCAGTCTTCCGGGACTTGGACCAGGTGGGTGCCAGGTTTCCTGCCTGCCTGACTCGTGCTTGGTTCTGCAGAGAGCCTGCTACCTGTCCATCAACCCCCAGAAGGATGAGACACTAGAGACGGAGAAGGCTCAGTACTACCTGCCCGATGGCAGCACCATTGAGGTAGGCGACCGAACTTGTGTCCTCAGGCCCCCAGAGCTCTAGGCCTGTACAGAACTCCTCATGGGGAGGCGGAGTCAGGTGTGCCCGTCTGTCAGCCCTCCTGGGGCAGTGAGTTCGTGAGCAGCACCATCGCCTGCCCAGCGATGTGTGCCAGGGACCTGGCTTCTCTTGTGCGGAGAGGAGGCACCAGAGGCATTTTCCTGCGTCCGGATGGCTCAGGAATAGGGTGGTTGGTGCTGTCCGTAACTACGTCAGCACGGCATAGGCTGGGTTGCCTCTCCCCAGACCTCCATTGATTGGAAGAAGTTTTTATGAGTGAATGAGTCCATGTATTAATGCCAAAGGTCTCTTGGCTGGATAATGCCAGAACTAGGATTAAACAGAGGAGCTTCCTCTCTCTCGTTTCCTGGGAGCCCTGTTTCCTTTTGTTCCCTGTTTGTTCCCAAGAACCCTATCTTTGTTCCTTGAGACCTTGACATCTGAGGTCTTTCCTAAGCCTGGACTTCGTAGCCACCTGGTTACTAAGAGGTGGACACAGGGGCCTCTTCCATCCCCCTTCCCAGAGACCTCGGCCCCCGTTCCACCTCTGAAGCTGGCCCTCCACCCTGCAGATTGGTCCTTCCCGATTCCGGGCACCTGAGCTTCTGTTCAGGCCAGACCTGATCGGCGAGGAGAGTGAAGGCATCCACGAGGTGCTGGTGTTTGCCATCCAGAAGTCGGACATGGACCTGAGGCGCACGCTTTTCTCTAACATTGTCCTCTCAGGAGGCTCCACCCTGTTCAAAGGTTGGTCTTTGCTCTCGGGGCCCTTCCCCAGAAAGCTTCCAGATCCTGCTGGGCCCAGATGCCCAGAGAATTGACTTGAGATTCTCCTTTCTTGCCCATTCAGGTTTTGGTGACAGGCTACTGAGTGAAGTGAAGAAACTGGCTCCGAAAGATGTGAAGATCAGGGTAGGACCATGGTGCAGGCTAGGGCTGGGTGGAACTGGGCTTCCAAGGGTCCATAGTGCCATATGGTGTGGCCCCCTTTCCAGCTCTGCCCAAGCTTTTCAGGCAGCCAGGGCTCCACAGGTACTGCCAGATGCTCCCACTTCCACACTGACTCTGAGGTCTGCCAGAGTGGAGGGCCCGTTCTCACTCTCCATCCTCTCAAAGGGGGGCAGTTCTAATACCCAGATGACGCCGGGCGCTAGGCTGAAGGCCCCCGTGTGGTCTTCCAGGGAAACTGCCATTGATAGGAGATTGACTTTTGCTACTCCCCTGTGACAGTCCAACATCTTAGTGACTGCCGAGGGGAGCTAGCCTGCCTGAGAAAGGAGGGGTTCTAAGTGAAGGAGTGTGGTTCCTGCAATGGCATCTTGCCCCCAGATAGTCCCAGCCTTTCTGGGAATTGTACTTAGGGTGCGAGAGACCCAGGGTCCAGCAGGTCCACTCGGTCTGTTGTGTGAAATGCATCCACTGCCTTGGGTGTGAGCATTAGCCATAAAGAAGAGAGTTGGAAGGAAAAGTGAAAGGGGAGGGTGAATGTCTCAGATTTCTCTTTCTATTCCCCTTGCAGATATCTGCTCCTCAGGAGAGACTGTATTCCACATGGATCGGGTGAGTAGTTCAGGGAATAAGAGTGGAATAGGAAGCAAATACCCACGCTCTTTTCTCACAGTGTTCCTTTGATTCCCTCTACTGCAGGGGCTCTATCCTCGCCTCCCTGGACACCTTTAAGAAGATGTGGGTCTCCAAGAAGGAATACGAGGAAGACGGTGCCCGATCCATCCACAGGAAAACCTTCTAATGCTGGGACATCATCTTCATCTTTCTCTGAAGTTAACTCCACTTTAAAACTCGCTTTCTTGAGTCGGAGTGTTTGCGAGGAACTGCTGTGTGTGTGTATGTGTGTGTGTGGATGTGTGGGTACAAGTATGTGCACCTATGCGAATGCCGTGTGGCCCAGGGATCCCAGGGCCCAGAAAGGACGATGAACTACCCACGATGGTGATGGCCTGAGGCCTGGGGTTGACCACTAACTGGTCCCTGACAGGAAAGAATGCTGGCAGAGGGCCCCATTCCTTCGTCTACTGGGCCTTTGTCTGGCTGTGTGGGACTACGTTTACTACCTACCATAGGGACACAGAGGGCGGTAGATCTAACCCCAGGGAGACCTTGCTGCTGCCCGCCCTAAGCTGGTTAAACCCCACCACCACCCCTTCCCCAGGGTGCCCTGAGGCCCAAGGCAGCTGCTGCCTTCCTTGTTCATCATTCTGTTCTTGATGCCTCTCGATCATGAATTGAGGACCGGAACTGGGGTTGAGTTCTATCTGGTTTTGATTGCAGTTTGGGTTGGGAGGCTGGAAAGGAGAGGGCAGGATGCTCTTAACTTCACCTGGGGGCCAGGACCACACTGGGCATTTGAGGAGGGCAGGAGTAGTGCTACTTTTGATTGGCGGCAGAGTTAAAATTCCAATCCCAAGCCCCATCCAGGGGATCTTGGGAGAGCTTAAGGAGCCTGTTGGCTCCAGGCCATTACTTACTTTTCATCCATCCTTGGGCAATGCCATCTTCAAACAATGTTATTTATTTGTTTGTTCAGTATGGGAACTGGAGAGAGGGAGCTTATTGCCTCCTGCCCACCAGTCACCCTGTTCACACTAATGTTTACAGCATCTAAGCTTAGCATGGCCTCCAGGGCCCCACCACTCCCTGCTAAGGGTGAACTGACAGTATCCATAGGCTGAGGCCATTTGGGATCTGAGGTTGCACTCAAAGTCACTCCCACAGCCTTTCTCCCCCTCCCACTTGCTCACTGCCCTGGAATCCACAGGCTGGTTGCTGGTTGGATTTTTCTGAAACAGGTGGTAGAATCACTCCTTGGCAGAGGCCCTAGCAAAGGAGGGGTGTTGGGGGGATCTAGCGCCCTTAGGATTGGAGAAAGCCGCAATGAACCAAGTTGCCTTTTCCCACTCTAGCTGACCTGAGGGGCTAGGTTGTAGAGATGAGAAGGTCCCCTCTGGGCTGATATTGTGCCATTCTTGACTTTGGACATGAGTAGTTAGGGAGGGAGGAGGCCAGACCCAGGTGCCAGGAACTGGTGGGCTCAGGCTCATCTCTGGTCCAGTGGGGCCAGGCACTGGACTGGGCTGGCCTAGCAGTGGTCCACAGGCCCTTCAGCCCGATGGTACAAAGCTGGGTCTGGCCCATGTTCACCGGCACCCTCACTTGACACCAAGATCTGCCCCAATCCCAGATTCAGGCAGTCTTCCCATGCCATCCAACGATGAAAGGCCCTTCTAGGTGTGGGCCACAGCAGCAGGTGTGTGTGAAAGCGATGTTGCGGCCCGCGGACTGCAGTGTGCTTAACCAGTTCACCTCCCTTCTTTTAGCCCAAGCCTGTCCTTCACACAGCCTTGCACAAACCACGTTGCCTGGTGGGGCCCAGTGTACTTAAATAAAGTCCTTCCAATAGACACGTCAGCTGGCCTCTGTCTAGTCAGTGCTGGGAGGGAAGTGGGAGGAGCCCAGGTCCCCCGAATCTGAGGCCTCATCGTCCTCTAGAGGGCACTGTTGCCCCAGCCAAACTTGACCAGCTTTAGCCCAAGTGCCAGCCTGTCAAGCCCGTGGGTGAGACTCCACCCAAATGAGGGGAGCAGCATCTGACATCCTAAGTCAGAGACTCTCAAAACGTCCGTGTGTGTAAGAAGCTCAAGAGCTTATTAAAATGCGGTTCCTGAGGCCCATGTTCAGATATTCTGAGTAATCAGTTCTCCATTTTAATTCTAAATACTTGGGGGAAAATTGCCCTTCACTTTACAAATGTTAACCCATTTGATCCAACAACCTATATAGTATATTTTTATCATCCACTTTACAGATGAGGAAATAGAGCCATAGAGAGATCACGTCATTTCCCAAAGCTAGGATTTGAACCCAGGCTATGTAGCCCTACAGCCTGCATTCTTAGGCACTATGAGGCCCTCAACAAACCATTGGCCTAGAGCCGTGGTCGGCAACTGCAGCTCACGGGCCACATGCGGCTCTTTGGCCCCTTGAGTGTGGCTCTTCCTAAGCCTTAGGAGGACCCTAATTAAGTTAATAACAATGTACCTACCTATATAGTTTAAGTTTAAAAAATTTGGCTCTCAAAAGAAATTTCATTTGTTGTACTGTTGATATTTGGCTCTGTTGACTAATGAGTTTGCCGACCACTGGCCTAGAGCAGTGGTTCTTAATCAGGTCAGTTTTGCCCTCCATATACATTTGCCAATGCCTGGAAATATTTGGTTATCATAATGGGCGGGGGTGGGGTGGGGTGGGGTGAAGGCGGTGCTGTTACTGGCATCTAAGCAGAGGCCAGGGCTGCCAAGGCCCAGAACACAGGTAAAATCACCACAGAGCTTTCCAAAACCCCAGACCCATGAAAGCAGAACCTTGGGAAACAGAACTCAGACCTATCACCATTTTTGAAAGCTCTCTGGTGTCTCCAAGGTTGTGGGCTCTGGCCTACGAGGAGCCGCTCCTCTCTGATCGCGTGTCCAGCCGTGGTACATGGAAGTGCCCTGGGGCTACGCCTGCATCCCAAGTGCCCATGCAGTTGCCAGTCCACAGGTTCTCCCTGTTGCCTGTGAATCTGACGTGGGTGGCCACTCCACTCACTTTGGAAAAGTGCTCTTGAGTGCTTTTCCTATTAAATGAGTCATATTCCCCAACCCCACCACGCCCACACAGCACAGACCTCAGGAATGGGAACAGAAAGACTTTAATCCGTTTGATGAGCTGAACTCTTAGGAGGCCAGGTGGGCGTGGAGGAGCCCTGCAGCAACGGGGGCATGCTCCTTCAGGCACAACTGCAGCAGAGATGGCAGACACCACTGGAAGGGTGGAGGGGCGGAGTGGGTGGGACTCCCAGTCAGCACCCCGACTGGACGAAAGGCAGTATCAAAAGTGGTTCCTGAGCGCACATGAAGCCCCAGCCCCAGGCAGGGGGCTAGGCCTCTGTGCCCTGTGGCAACCCCATGTGACCACAGGGCATTCCCTTCCCTTCTTGGTCCTTTTCTTACTCCTGCCCATAGGGGCAAGCAGGTCCCTGAGCAAATTCGGCCCAGCTCTTGCCCAAGCCGGGCCAGGTAGCCAAGCACGATCTCAGACCCAATGACGCTCCTGGCTCCGACCCAGGAGCTCCCGTTCTGCCCTTTGATCTCGAGGCTGCACCCAAGGAAGGCAGGGGAGCAGGACACCAGGCTGGCAAAAGTGGCTCCTGCCCAGAGCTGTGGGCAGTGTCCTCATCAGAGTGGCCTTGTTGCACCTCTCACACTGTCTTAATGTCAAGGGTTTGGACTTGTGACAGATTCTGGCGTTGGGCTTTGACCATGCGCAGGCGTCTCCCATGCAGCGTGAACTTGGACCAGGTGAACAGTTGCAGCAGAGCACAGGTGATGGGCACCAGCACCAGCAGGTAGAAGCAGCCCTGGCGGAGTGTAGGGGCCTGAACCGGGGGTGGGGCCGGGGGTTCTGGCCAGGGTTGGGCCCTCCCCACAGGGGTCAGTGGGGACTGCTGGAAGAGATCATGACCTACGACGAGAGCGTGCAGAAAGAACAGTCGGCCCTGTGCTCCTCTCAAGTCCACAGTGCCACATCTCAGATGCCACACATACACAACCATTGATTTCTACCCCAACTTGCTCCTCCCTTTCTGCCATCCACCCAATGGGCCAAAAGCCTCAAAGTCTTCCTAGATTCCTTGGTTGACTTTAGCACTCCCCAACAGCCAATCCTTCACCTCCACCCAACTCCAAAACACATCCCAACCCCAAATACTTCTTTCCAGCCTCCTAGCACCACCCTGGTCCAAGTCTCTATCGCCTCTGCCACAGCCTCCCTACAATCCATTCTCCATACAGCAGCCAGAGCCACCTCTTAAAAACAAATCAGACCATATCACCCTCTGCTTAAAACCCTTCCAATAGCTTCTCTTTGAACTGAGAATAAAATCCAAACCCTGCCCTGCTCTCCAGAGCCCTCATCAACGTTTCCAGCTTCATCTAACCCAGTGGTTCTCAACCTTGCTAACGCCGCGACCCTTTAATACAGTTCCTCATGTTGTGGTGACCCCCAACCATAAAATTATTTTCATTGCTACTTCATAACTGTAATTTTGCTACTGTTATGAATCACAATGTAAATATCTGATATGCAGGATGTATTTTCATTGTTACAAATTGAACATAATTAAAGCATAGTGATTAATCACAAAAACAATATGTAATTATATATTCAATATGTGTTTTCTGATGGTCTTAGGCGACCCTTGTGAAAGGGTCGTTTGACCCCAAAGTGGTCGCGACCCACAGGTTGAGAACCACTGATCTAACCACTCCTGACACCTTGTGCCTTTGCACTTGTCAATCCTCTGTCTGGGACCCACTGAGATCTTTGTAGACCAAATCCTTCCCATTCAGTTCATATCTGGCTGTCACTTCCTCAGAGAGACCTTCCCAGACCACACTAAGTAGCTTTTCAGACACATTACAATAAGGCCTCACTCAATGCCCTCAATAAGTTCTGTGACTCTACGTGAAACAATGTATAATGAACCAACTTTAGCATAGGCCAGTGATGGCGAACCTATGACACGCGTGTCAGCATTTTGAAAAACCCTAACTTAACTCTGGTGCCGTGTCACATATAGAAATTTTTTGATATTTGAAACCATAGTAGACAAAGAACATATTGTTATCTTTATTTCATATATTTAAAAGCCATTTAACAAAGAAAAATCAACCAAAAAAAATGAGTTCGCATG